GCTAGCAAGTTTTTAATCGCGTACCAAATCGAACGAGTGAGATACACAGCGGCGATTAACAAATAAATTAAATATCATGGTACGCTGTCAGCAACAGTGTACCGTTCTAATCGTTTGTCACGCGAAATATACAGTAGCTAAATATAAAATATATCGTTAAATTAAATATATTCAGTGCATCATAAAGTACACGAATGACACAAGTGGCCCGATATAAACGATTTATAAATGCAGGCGGACAATTGCGGACAGCAGAATTTCCGCTCGTTTGTCATGTATTCTGTTGCAGCGATAAACAAAACGTCGCGTCGTATAATCGACCGCTTCGAAACGGTGTGATAATGGCGCATATTATCATAAATTTCGTTAAGCTGCGTACAAGCTTCGAACAACCCGCGCGAGAATCCCTATACCTCAGGCGCGAGTTCGGCCGGTTGCTCGGCCAGAAAATATTATGTCACTAAATCGTTAAATGGATGTTTAGCCAACGTTGACGGGCGAATCCGCTTAGTGTTATTAAGCCACGTAGCATTAAGAGGATAACGCTCCGCGATACACTCGTAACTTTGTCCGATACCGCCGAACGCATGTCCCGCCGAGGAGCGACGGGCGAGCAGCGTCGTCATAATCCGATTGCCGATGTTGCTGGTACGGTCCGGACAACCGATATACCTTGTTGCTCGATTGTATCAGAACCTGGTGGGTCGAATCGCTGGCGTTAAGAGATCAATGTTTCTCAAACCCTCGCGTGCTGACGAGAGCTTTGTCGTAGCGCACAATCGTAAAATCAATAGCACACGCATAGCATGTAGATATTTGTTGCTCATTTTTCCTGCGTTGTGCCACGTCGCGATACGAAACTATGTGGTAAACATGAAATACACTGAGCCAACGCATTGCAAGTATAACGTGTTCTTTGGGGCATAGGACCTAGTATTAGGCATAGAAACCGATATATATATTTTTAATGCAATCATTAAATAGTTAAATCTACAGCTAACAGCATGCAGTTATCTTTTAATTTAATATTTTCGAAAGAAGTTGTAATAGAATCTGCACGCCTTACTGGCAGACTCCTTGGCTAAATTTCTAATGTCGCTGGTGCAAAAATATGCAACTGATGCATCGATCAGATAAAATAGAGCCCGAATCTGTATAGATTCGATCGGAGCAATTATTAGAAGGAATAGATAAGGGATAATAATACGAGTGGTAACATCGGTAACATTTACATAGTCCCTGCAGTTTAATGTGGTTTCTACTCTTAGTGCCATCAAAGGCTGCCTATTACCATCTGCAGTATTCATAACCAGACCGCGAGCAGACAGTTGTTACTTCCCTAGAGTGGCCTAGAGAATCGCTACTATTTTCGACAGAGACCGAGGAATTAAAAGAAAAATCAACACAATCGAAAGATTGCTGCTTCAGCTTAGTTATTATACATGGCGATATTCACGCATCTATATAATCATAAAACGTTAATTCGCGCTTTCACCAACGGCTTTCGCGCTTGAGCGAAACGTAACGCTTACTTGCTTGTTAAAAATAAAATGGCAAAAACTCGTGGTAGCGAAAGGTAAATTCTAATTTAACGGAAATTGAACTCTTTCTGGAATTTCGTACAGAAATAGTCAAGGAAAATATCAATCTTGATTTCTCATGTATTCGATCTAATTCTAGAAGAGAATAAAAATGTAGTAGATCTCCGAGATTAAAGTTAACCGACTTTGCTGAAACCGTTCATAAATCCTAAAAATAGTAACAGGGTCACGTTCGACTTTTATTTTGAGAGATATTTGCACGGCGAAAAGAACAGATACGCGAATAAAAGTACAGAAAATGTCGATATCACTGGAGACGTATCTCGAGACGGATAACACTCCCTCGTCACACTCGCACGGAAGTAAAACATGATGCTAGAAACGATCCGACGATCTATACGCCGATACGCGAAACCTTCCTATAGTATTTTGCTTTCCGCGCGTTTATTGTTAAAGTGCGACGAAAAAACGTAACCCCATTTCCTTGGCGCGGAACAGAAATAAACCATTACCGAGGTAACAATAGCCCTCGACACTGAAACAATTGCGGTCAGTAATTGCGCTCTTGCTCGGAAATTTAAGAGTTGAGAGACGCGTTAATGGCCTAAATACCGCAAATAGGAGCCCGGACGATGTCCGAGATAAAGATAAAACGAAGTTCTAACCGGTCCTACGATTTATATCGGCCATTTGCTAAACGACAACGAGTGTATCAAAGTGATTCGTATAGTTACCGTCGTGGGACATGGCACAGATGAAACACGGTTTACGTTCAATTTCATTCAGAATGAGTTACGTATCTGAAGAGGCAGAGAGAAAGTAAAGGAGGCGTGCGACGTATTTTAATGGCGGCTTTAATAATTGCGGCCCACACCCTCGACACGCGGGCATCAGGTGTCCTATTTAAATATTTATAAAGCCTCACCTCTTGCATATCGTCTCGAAACCGAGGTACACGAAGCGGCACGTTGCCTTGTCCAGAAGTAAATTTGCTGAGCAACAACGACGACGAGCATCAAGTTTACTTCATGTATTTTTCAGCGGAACGTGTCCACAAACATTCTCGTTTAACAATCCGCATCGCTCTTTGTGCGAACCCTTTTTATTTATTTATATCAAATTTTAGAGAAAATTAGAGAAATGAAAATTAATTCACTAATATTTGATGACAGTGTAATAATGAATTTCTATATTCCTGAAACCGAAATAATTTATGAGTCATTATGACAGAATATTAAATATTATTTGCGAAAAATCATTTTAACAAGAATAGTGTTTGCAAATTTAGCCTTAACATTAAAATTTTAGCCTTGAATATGAAATATGAAGCTCATTACTTGATTTTGCCTTTTTTGACGAGAAATCTTAAATAAAACGTCTCAAGTAGCTCTCGCTAGATCGTTCGTGAAGTAACACCGTTTCTGTCTCTTCTCTAACAAGTCTTATCAAACTATCGTGCGTAAAGCGGTGTTAAGCGATATTCAGAACTTGCTTCGTTGCAATCATTAGTCCGCTATTCAGCGCGACCAAGTTAGAAATTCACGGCGTTAAGGATATAACGCATTCTACTACCAGTTACCTGTAACCAGATCGTGACTGTGAATATTCAAGTCAAAGAATGAACTTTCCGAAGAACGCGAAGAATGTTATCGTTTATCGTGTGTGCAACATATCGTGCTTCTTGAACGTGAATAAAGTCTTTCTTGACACTGACGTGCGAGGAATATTTAGTATTCAAAAGAGATGTAAATTTTCATACGATGAAAATAAATCCGACGTTATTCTTTTAATTAATGTGTGAAGATATGAAGAATTAATGCATTATATTAAGATAAACAACTTTAAATTTCAAAAAATAAGAGCTCCAGCAAAGTCTTTTTTTTTCTAATTAATATGCATCGATTTAAAGAAGTACAGAACAAAATATTGTTTGCATTTCTCTTTACTTTATAATGGCATAGCTTTATAATGGTTTTCGTAAATTACATCCACTGTACGTGACAATGTTGACCTCTTGAAGTACCTTTTAATGAAAAAAATTGATTACAACGATATGACGTTTATGGGCATTTTCTCTCATTCTATGTTTTATTATTACACGACCATTTAAATAAAAAAAACATAGACGGGAACAAATATTTTTCAATTAATTGAAATACGAGACATATATATATGTATTTTCCGCGGGTGATGCAGCAAGTGTGCGAGAATGTGCAAAGCGTTTCAAATTTATCTTAAAATATTCTTGAACATATTTGAGGAACCTGAACCCTCCAATTCCCAAGATACCTATATCCTGCTGCGCGAGGTTCCCCGCGTTTATTTAGTATATACGCTCCCTTTAAGCTTTTTCGTCAATATGACAAGCATTCTCGTTCAACTTCATCGTCAAAATATGTGATATGAAATATGCGAATATCGAGTACGACATTCAACGAGGTCTTATCGGGGATCACATAATTGTGGAGATTATATTAAAAAGTATAAATGCACCATGGTTTACAGCCGCATTTTATATTCTCTTAATCTCCGGGAAGATAAATTTTTACCATCATTGTTGTTGCAAGCAACTTCTGGATGTTCTAACGTCGGAGCAGAAAGCAAGGAAAATATTCAAGAGTGCTCGCACAGACACTGAAATGTGTCTGAAGCACTCACCTCTTCTCTTTATTCTCCTTCGCCGCTTTAATAAAAGTATTTTTGTCGAAGTCTTCCGCCACGAATCAATTCAAGAAAATCCAATCGGGATTCGTGTTCCATGCGTTCATGCTCGGATCTCGAATATCCCATTCTTCTTGCACTTTGCGATTTCCTAGGAATACGATGTCGTCTGCATGTCTGGACATGGTTGCCATCTTCTTATTTATTGGAAAACTCAAGCTTGAAAATACTGGAAATATTGTTCGTTGAGTTGTGTGAAATACGTGCGAAGAATCATGTAACGCTTTGTTAAATTCACAAATGTAATGTTTATTTAGGCGAAATCACAGTGGGTTTTTCGAAATTTGATGCAGTCTCGCGAAAGATACGCCCCATCGAAACTTGATATGAAATGTAAATGACCTGCCGGAATTTTATATTAAAAAATAGAAACACAAACAACGCTACTCCTACAATTGAAATATTTTTGTATATTACTGTTAACGCTTGTACTATATTTGTATTATATTATTTTATATTAGTTAACGTTTGTATTATATTTACAAAAAAGATATTCCAATCTTTATATATATACAATTTAAAAGCAAATTTTAAAATAGGGCAAGAGGCAGTACTTTTATGTAGCGATATTTTCCAGTGCCAGAATCTCATTTCGACTAATTAAATGGGAATGTGGAAACTTTGACATATATACACAACTTCCAGATACACGTGTCCCGAGAGTGTGGCAAAAGCGCACTACGGTATTAAGGGGTGATATATCCGCATTTACGGACGTGTAATTCTCGTTTTCTCCAGCTGGAGGCGTGCGGCCGACTTCTGTGCTGCGTGCAGAGGCTCTGCAGAAGCGGAAGTGCAACCGACGAGCCTGCCGAGCATCGAATCAACGCTCGCGGTCGGCGAGGAGCGCAAGCGGAGCCTGAGCTGGTGGAGGGTCAGGGTCCCTCGGGCCCGGAGGATGGAATGCTCGCTATGCCCGTCAGCCCGAGTCCCGCGTCCACCTCGTCACAGGAGGACGCCTGCAAACCGCCGCCGCGCAACTGCTATCGTCTCGTTATGCTCGGCAGTGCCCGGGTTGGAAAGACCGCCATTGTAGCACGGTAAATGCCCGAAATCGATTGCGGCATTCAGCTTCAAAGCTTTTTCTTTTCTATTTTCTATTATATTTTTTCATTGTAATTTTGTAAATACGATACTATATATTTTATTTCTTTAATATTTCCTCAATTTAGTTAAATATATCTCCTAAATTTAATTACGTGAAGATATAGAGGATTTTATTTTCTGTATATCTTTTAGTTATTTGTGTTTAACTTTTACTTGTGCTCAACGTTTTCCCATTAGAACTTAGCCGATCCAATACCTTCTGTTGTGCTTCCTATGTTTTGCTATTCCGTACGCTTCGTCCCAAGCTTCGTCCGTTCGGTCTCCTAAATCCTGCCCGTCGTGCTCTCTTTCTTCATCGATTACTAATAGTGCGAAACAATGTCATTCAATTAATCTTTGAACCGTACCGGCCCACCACTACGTGTCGCATTGCTGTTTTCTATTGTTATTCGACCACTGCCATCGTGCGATAGGGTGTCGAAAAACTGGCCGCCACATGTTCCTGATGGAAATAAAACGTAATCCTTCCGAATTGAATTAATCTGTTAAAATTGCGACCTAATCATATTTCTTTTCTCATCGTCAAATTGAACCGGAGAGTGGCCGCAAGTTATTAAGGAGACGATAAAATCCCTCGCCGCTGCCGCTGATATTGCACGTCGATTAATGTCGCGGTTCCGCGAAATGTCGAAAATTCGGCCAGTTCGAAGTTATGTCGACCACCCGAAATTGACCGCAATTACGTGACCCCCGCATACTAAGTGAATTTTTCGTTCATATGCGCGTAGATAGCAATCGCTAACGAGCCCATTTAAAAAATCGAGACAGATGCTTATTCTCTCGCCCACAAACGTGACTCTTTAAATGCTACGGTGCTACGATTAATCCCGTGTTTACCATCCCCGTTCGTCGGGCCCGTATCTGTTAAAATCTGTTTTGGAGAATATACGTTTACGCATTAATTAAATTTTGGAAATGCTTTTTTAAGCCATTTTTTAAATCGTCCAACACACACAGAATCATAAAATTATCAAATTCTATTCTATCAATCGACTACATTAAAAAAAATGGAAACGGAGTTGAAATTTGAAACTCGAAAGATAACGAGTGAAAGAGAGAGAAAAAAACCGTGAAGCCTAAAATAACGAATCGTTCGTGGATAAAATCGTTGCCGCTCACGTTTCAGATTTCTGTTCAACAAATTCGAGGAGAGCTACACGCCGACGATAGAAGATTTTCACAGGAAACTTTATAGGATCAGAGGCGAGATTCATCAGCTTGATCTTCTAGATACAAGCGGAAACCATCCGTTTCCGGCGATGCGACGATTGTCTTTCCTGACGGGTAAGTCCATCGGCTTACCTCCCCGGAGAAATGCGCTGCTCCATTTCAAGTTAGTTGCATTCAAGATGCCGCAAAGTATTCGCACGCATATTTCCGCGGAATATAAAATTTTCATTCTCGGCAACGACATTCCGCTTTTATCGCGGCGAAAATTGGTTCGAGAAAAATTAATGGATATTTGACTTTTGTATGAGCATGTAAAAAATTGCACGTTAGCGAGTGACGTGTTGCAAATGCACTGCGATGCATTTTATATGAAAATACGCCAGACTGCGGTAGATGAAAAAAGAAGGTGTCACAAAAAGATGCTTTCTGCCACGAATATAGTTTCGTAAATCTTTAAGCATTCGAGAAAACGCGGTTGGTGTATACGAGACGAGGCTCATCTAAAGATTAACACTCTACTTTTATCCCGACACATCTCTCTCGACGGCCGAGAAAACTTTCGTTCTTCGATGTGACGTAAGAATGCCTAAAACGATACCGATATTATGAAGAAAATCGTACCGAGCATTTTCTGTCGTCGGATTCGTGCTTCGCAAGTTTTACGACTCTCGGCGAAATCTCATACCCTCAACAACGATAGTTCACTACCTACGTCCTGCACACGGGAAAAGTTCGAGGGAGACTGCCCGGGGTGAGTGTCGAACTGTTACTGCTGGAATTTCAGCAAAGTTCAAATATGAAATTACACGAGTATCACGTGGTTGCAATTAATTTTGCAGAGAAGAGAAGTCTAGGCGAGAATTATACATCCAACGTTACGGTAAAAATCCGATTTCTGATAGATTAAGCATTCAGGCCGGAATCAATTCCACAGATACAAAAAAGCAGTTACTTTAATAGTTTATGTCATCTATTTATTCCTTCTTCGTTTGTATCGTTCTGTTAAAATTGTTTTATTAAAGAGTTGGATAATAGAGATTAGTATATTTTAAATTATAATTTCTTCTTTTTCTCTTCAAACGACTATTTCTTATATTTTTCTCATTTTGATAATAATCTATACATATAAAAACAAATATCCTGAATAACTGACTGACTGACTGACTGACTGACTGACTGACTCATCAACACCCAGCCCAAACTTCTAAAAACATGAAATTCGAGGAGTATATTCCTTTCACATAACATATAAGCACTCACTAAGAAGGGACTTTTAGAAATTCGATTCCTAAGGGAGTAAAAGAGGGTAAAATGTGTTTTCACCGATTCTTCAACATCTCTTAGGCCCGATGAGATATCGACTTGGTTTTTTATTTAAAGTAGTTACACACATACCGTTGCGAAGCACGGGTATCAAGCTAGTATAATATAAACTGACTGGTGACAGGCTTTGCAATGTTACTTTGTCTAATTGAGGCTGTCTATATACGGTACACATAATCCCTTAAGTACGATTGATTGTATTTCGCCTGTATATTAGGGAGACAATACTATAGCCAATCTCCACCACAATATTCAATGTATTAAACGAAAATGGGATATTCAACGAGTAACTGAGGAACGAGGGATGAGACGGCTCAGACGGCGATAAGTGATCGACAGTATCGAAGGACGTGCTTGTGAAAACGTGGGAGAACGTATGAGAGGGTACGTTCGCTCGATAACTCGATTTCGTCCACTTTCCCTTTTCTTCGCCACCCGGTAGCCCCTGCGGCTACCCGACGAAACCGTTTGTGCTCCGCTGATTTTGCGCGTAGATCTCCCTTGTCGCTCGTCATCTCGCGTTGCCACCTGTACCCGATAACCTGATATCGTATCATGCTGTCGAATGCGTGACAATTGCATTAGCATCGCGGTTGTCAAGATGGAGGGCAGGACCTCCCAACTGAAAACACATATTTACGCTCGGATATACATACATACATACAAACGTCATGTCGACCGGCGTAGAACGTAATCTAAGTTATGATCTATGCATAGTATGCAATTCCCAAAACGTCTATCTACCAAGACAATTGTAAATGACTATATAGCGTGACACGCTCACTTGGGACAAAAAATTAATTCTGCATTTAAAAATTTGATAAGTGTGTCAATATACAATCTAGTTTATTTGCTTTCATTATATTGCTAGCTGTATTCTTACAACAAAATTCTTTATAACAATTTCACTGAGAACGTAGTAAAAATATTTTATGATCAGAAAGGATAATTCATAATTTTATAATCGTATAAACAAATTTTTTTAATAAAACACTCCTCGAAATTAAAGCGATCCGAAAGTTTCGGCAGCAGCAGTTTGCTCTCGGAATCTGACTATCCCGTCGCTGTTTTAGGCGGAGTTACACAAATTGCATCGGACAGAACCGATACTCGCCTCTCAGTTATTGCACTACATGCGCCTGGAAACGCGATGTATCGTCGCATGTTGCCAGTAAAGTTGACCTCACGTAGAAGCGCGCAGTAAAATTAGACACGTAAATCCAAAGAATTTTTAAATTGCCGTCCGCATGTGCGGAAATCAAGAGAGCCACCGTCGATGGGAATTTCATCGCGGCGTGTTCAGTTTTGTATTCCGCCCGACGCTCGATGCCGTCGGAAATTCCGTCGTATTCGACAAAACGAGTCACGACTCCACGTTTCGCGTTTGCATTTTTCTCGACGCTTCACCAAGAACTCTTAATAATTCACAGATCGGCCGATTGCCAAAAACATTTCGCGCATAGATATGCGCGCATTACCCTGTGAGCGATCGTTTTTCTTTTACGTGACCATTACATTAGTAACGCTCACATAAATCTTTTTTTTTATGCATCCCGATTGATGTATAATTTAGACAGATGTTTCTCAATTTTTCTAATATTTGTAATATAACTGTATAATAACTGTTGTGAAAAACATCACTTCCTTTTCGCAAACGCGATCACTCGCCTAATCTAAGATCAACTTACACGTTGAGAGAGGGTAAAAAAGGTTTCCGCGAGCCGCGAATCCGTTGTCGGAATACGGTTGAATATACGGAGGAACGCGATATGACCCCGATTCCAAGACAATGAGCCTCCGAACGGGGCTCGGGCTGTTGCGAGAAGAGAGAATTCCTTTCGACACCAAAGACACGAACTTTGCCGCATAATGGCTGACATACATATATTTTCATCTCGCGGCGAGGACAATATCGGGCCTGCCTTGCGTGTTTCGCGGGAATAAGATGTCTCGCGACGCTCCATGTAGTAGCCACGAAGCGACAAGATTTTCGAAATATGGAGGTCGGGTCTCCTAAGAAGTCCTCGGTAAAACACGACACGTGGATGAGATGAAACTAAATAAATTAGGTGGATGAGCTAAATGGATCGTCTTTGAAATTTGGAAATTGTATTTGTGAGTTAAATAAATTTTGTTACGTAGCAGGTTTATATAGGATAAGCATATCGCAAAGATATCTCGTGAAGTTAAATTAAATTTTACGAAATTTAATTGTGTACCAGCGGTGTTTACAATTTCGTGTTTCAATTATGTAATACATACCTATATCTTTTGATAGAAAAAGAGAAGTCGCAGAGTTCACACGCAAGAGTGACATTATATATCTTTTTATGTCATCAAACCGATAATTAGAGGGATATGCATTTAATATATATAAAGCTATTCTGCTAAATTAATAAGAAAAATAAGAGTAATGAAATTATTAATGACGTGTAATAATTATAATTATTATACATTGTTAATTAGTAGATGATGCTAATTACTAAATGTATAATAATAATATGTTAATAACAGTTAGTAACAGTAATAACAGTAAATTTCTGGTGGCAAAACAAGAATGCTGAGGTCTTTTTAGACTCTATATTATTCACGCACAGTTAACGACAACGTTATTATTATATGCGACACTTAGCGGCATCTTTTAGCGAGAGGATATGCGATAATAAAACCAAGTGGAGCGGTGTGTGTGTTGGCAAAGCGACGTTATTACCGAGCTTATGTTCTATACGCTCGACTCGTCGAGTTTCCCATTGGACGAGCTTTTTGTCCGTCCACGAGAACAGCAAGTTGATCCTACTCGCCCTTTTGTTCGCGGCGCGTTTTTGTCGGAAACAAGCGGTAACAGCGCCACTCATAGACACAAGACCGGGAATCATTACGCCACTACCGTCTACAGAGTGGATTTATAAATACACGGGCCGCGCCTCTGATCATGGAAATAAATCCGTCAGGATAAATATTCATAATCCGTAACACACGCGTATCGCGTGACCGTTATAATTAGTCCGTATGCAATGGCGTGTAGCGACTTCCGTCCGGTTCGGGATAATTGCAACCTATGTCGTATAATAAAGCGTGCGAGAGCGGGTCGAAAATTCAAAATCGTGTTGGCGCCAGGGTTGTTGTTTTCAACATTTTGTTTAAATCCAATAATTTTGTTTAAATCCAATATTGGATATATTTAAATATACGTTTCTTAAAACATGTTTCAAACAAATGTTTAAAACATGTTTGTTTTCGTGCCTGTTTAAAACATGTTCAAAACTTAAAAAACACGGTTGTAACAAAAAAAACATGTTTCGTTTTTTTTTTTTTTTAACATGTTTTTTAGCAACCCTGGTTGGCGCACGAGTCGCAGAAAAACCATTAAGTAAACTCGTCCGAGAAAATATGTAATTCGTTCGATTCGTGTACCATATTTATCCGTAACGTTAATATTCAACGATTCAACGTTTTGAGGATAAATACTCGCTGCGCGATCGAACAAACGACGTTCGGCCAGGTTCGAAACGATAACCGATTTCGCAGGGGACCTCTTCGTCGTGGTGTTCAGCATGGACTGTCGGGAGTCCTTCGAGGAAGCCATCAGACTGAGAGAGGCGATTCTCGAGACTAAAGTGAGCGCGACCCAAAGTGCCACGAAGAGCAGAAGGGCTCACTACAGTCTGAAGGTCCCTATGGTCATCGTGGGGAACAAATGTGATAAAGATGTAAAGTACGTTTTTCTCGAATTTGAATTTTTCCCGAATAACACCGCCTCATGTTTGCGTCTCTGAGTAACGTATAATTATTTTACTGACAAGTCTCTTGCCCTCGTTACAGAACCGTCACGGTGGAGGAAGCCGAGCAATATTGCGTGAGTCAGGACGAGTGCTGTATCTTCGTGGAAGCTTCCGCGAAACGGAACTATCATGTGGACGAACTTTTTTATCAGTTATTCGTAGTGGCCGGTCTACCTCTGGAGATGGCTCCGAATCATCATAGAAAAGTACCGCTCACTTTTGGCTCGCCAACCATGTTGCCGCCGTCGCAGGTACGTAACAATTCTCAATATACAGCGTTCAATACAACGTACTGTAATTCGTTACAGCGTAACTTCGTCGCGATTAATCAATCGTTTCTGTAATTGAAACGCGGAAAATTCGATTAGAGCTGACAAAGAGGCGAACGATGTGATGTTGTTCGCCTGGAGTCGCATCCGCGATCGATTAAACCGGGGATTACCTTCTCGTGAAATCGAGGGACGCGACGGCTGAAAAGCTTAAAAAAGCGACGCTTTTGTTTTTCCAGCCGCGACACAAAGCCACCCTCAGTATAAAACGTCGACTGAGCGACGCTTGCGGCGTCGTGGCGCCAAACGTGCGCCGTCCCAGCATAAGGACGGACTTAATGATCATGCGGACGAAGACGTGTTCGCTCGCGGCCGGGAACGAGAACAATACGCCAGGATCCAGGATCACGCTTAGAACGGGAAGAACGGAGTCCAGGAAGGCCTGCTCGATACAGTGATATTGCAAACGACTCTCATGCACACGGACAAATCTCTAGAAATATGATAACGCGTTTGAGAGCGATCTTCGGAAACGAGTATTATTATTTTATATCGTAACATTTGCATCTTTGCCTTTTATAACTTTACTACGATCGTTGTACGAGGTATTCTATATTCTTTTTTGCTTATATTAAGTTATTATAATTAGTTCTTACTATTATTAGTTAAAATCTTTAATAAAATAATCTATATGTACATGTATACATATATACATATACACACCACATTTCTAGCGAAACGAGAAAAACAAAGATAACTAAATTTGCCCAACGGAAACCTTACACGATATTGTGAATCATGGCGACTAAAACTTTCAGGTTTACAATTGTCAGACTTCACTGCAAATACGAAGATAAAGCGAAGCGAGTACTCGCGAACGAAGATCGCCAAGGGGAAATCATATTTAAACCGACCACGCTACTCGCCTTAATTAATTAATGGAATATAGCTTTAGCGTAATGTCCCGAAGGTAACACGTATAATTAACTTAAGATGTGACCGAACAAGAGAAAAAGACAGAGAGAAAGTGGGAGAGAGTGAGAGTGAGAGGTAAGCCGACCGTTACGTTAATTAATCGTTGTCGATCAAACGTTAAACGGGGAATCGATAACTCGACTAACATGGACGAGATCGTTTGACATTCGATCAGAGGGTTCTCCGATAACAGCGAGATGATCGAATCGCACGAAAGAGAGCGTGTATACCTCTTATTGGATACAAATTTTTATCGAAATTATCTTTCAACAAAGAATCTTGACGAAGAATAGATCAATTTGCGCGATCGGTGAGTGAGAGGTCGAGAAGTGTCAGCGTTGTATCAGTAATGAGAGAGATTGCGAAACGCGGTGAGAAAGCTTTTTACCGGATTAGTTAACTGCGCCCATCGTAGCCTTACTCGAGCTCCGACACGCGAAGGAGCGACGTTTATACTTCCGCATGAGATCTAGAGCGTTGTAATTTCATTAATAGCACTTGATTCAAGGAACGAATATTTGACCGTGGCGTCGTTCCTTCCGCTGAATCTCTTCGCGCATGCATAAACGTATTATATCGACTTTCGTTAAGAGAGGATAAATAGTTCTCCAAATTAATCTCGTTACTTTCATGACGTATCTCGCGCGTCCACAGTTCGCCGCTCGGTTTGCCGCTTTCGACGCGCCGCCGCGACCAACGAGACCGCATTGTTAACGATGAGACTCGTGTTACATGTACCAACATGCGTATAAAATCAATCGATATTTCCGTATCTCGACCTCCTTTTCTACGCATCTCGAACTTGTTGAAATGCATCGGGCGAGCGCGTGCAAAATTATCGCATCATCAAGTTACATATGCATATTATTTAAATGCAATCAGGTTAAAAAATATGTATGTAGATTTACAAATCCGAAAGCTCCGTGCCCGATGTTAACAACAGAGGATTTATTGTGAATATTCTGCGCAATTTTAGCTTTTCTTCTATGAATTTATGTGACGAAAAAGGGGTAAGTATATTCATCTGATAAGTGGAAGTTACTCAACGAATAAGATCTTGTTGGAAATTTTGTGAAATTTATCCGTCTTAGTTTACAGAGATATACTTTTCCTGCCTGCGGCTCATCTCGAACGATGAAATATTATAGGCACGTAGATCTCTCTGTGTGTGTGTGAGTATTCGAGATGTGGATACGCGTATTCTTTCTCTTCCCATAGACTCGGCTATAGTTACTCTCTAAGGTACAATCAACTTGACCAATTAGGCAGCTCGTAAGTCGACTCTGACCGAAAACAAGCGCAAAGCTTCATTCGGCGGAGTTACGTGACACGTGTGCTGCGAGTGGTAAAGATAAGCAAGAAAAAAAAGGTTAGTCGCGGCATGCACAATCATGTTCGCATTTTGTATCGAATAAAATAACATTTTCTCCACGTCCTCGCACGATTCTCTGAGCCGTATACTTATATACCTATTCCCGAAATAAAGCAAATATTGAAATAACCCGCGATCCCGAACGTTTTCGCACCGTTTCTGCATTAACATTTTGGTTCGCGGAACGAGAAAATCACTCGCTCTGATCGCCCCGAGCGAGAAATTGACTTAAACCAGATTTCCGTCATTAGCGCCGCGGGCTACGATTTGTCGATTATCACCCCCGGCGAAGTATTCTATCTTATTGGTTTGATCGATAACTCATTAGTCGAATTTTCTCAGATATTAATCGCGCTCCGATATGGTGGGATAAAAATAGTCGTGTTATAACGAGATGAATACGATACGGGTCTGTGCACGTGGTCATTAGATTTTCGGAAATCTGGAAACCTCAGTGCGCATTAAAGTAATTTCAACGAAAGATAAGCGATCGTGATTACAAGCAAAACGATAAAACTTGTTACAAAAACGCATTAGATATTCAATTAATATTTATTTGACGTTTAATTGACATTTAATTGATGTTTAATTAACGCGATGTTTAATCGACATGATTGACATTCGGAAAACAGAAAATGCATTTTCATAATTAACAATGGCCTTTTGCATTCTCTCGCTTTTTTCAATAAGAAAGAATCAATACGTGTTATTCAATATTAAAAGCCCTATAGAAAACCTTTTTGTTACTCGAAAACTAATACAAGTTTGAGTTCAATAAAACTGAAACAAAGAGACGTGAATGAGTTTTCGTTGTTCGTTTGAAAGCGACGATGGACTGAAATAGGTATACTCGAGGTAACCGTGTTAAAAATACGACGTTAAGGTATAGGTACTAGAATCTTCTTTTAGCTTGATGAAAGACTTAATAACTTATATTTTGCTCCGTATACAATTATATTTACCTCTTAAGAGTCCAGCAAACTTTTAATATTAATAATACTTTATATTTTAATTTCTTCGAAACAATTTCACACTTTTAAATTAAATACTTTAAAAAGTAGTTATTTTGTGATACACTCATAAATTATGATAATTATAATCCTTGTGATGCATTATAACGTTATTTCGCAGATAACAAAATCAATCTTTCGGCAAAGTAAACAAGTATTGTATATGTATATATTTAACTTAATTTTATTCATTTATTTCTACTTATCACTTTGTTTATTCACGATTTATCTTAATAAACAGTTTCACCTGATTCTTAAGGAGGATAAGTTAGACAAACATAAACACATAAATATTAATTTTACTCCCAACATGTAAAAATTTCCCGCGGGAGACTTTCGGCGAGAGATTTAAGACGGCTATGTTCTTTTTTTCAACCTCTACAATCTAAAATTTATGCTTCGAAAAATGATTTATAAATCGCAGGATTTCCGAAAAAAGAGTTATCGCCACACACGTTGACAGCGGTTTAGGAGAAGGGCGTAAATGCACTTAAGAGCGCATTCCACTGTCGTGGAATGTTTAATTAAACTCTGACGAGAACTTGGAGAATTCCAGACACTGCGGAGACACACTGGAGGTCTCTATACGTCACACAATTTGCATCTTTCCAACGTACGTTGTTAAGATGATATTGGTTTTGAAATTTTATCCCATATTTATGTACGTGCAGCGTCGTTTTATTTTTCTCAGAAGAACTGTTATTACGAAAGAACCTGATATTAGAATATGGAAAACATTACTTAGTCGTGAAAATTTCTTATCTTTACAAAGCACTTTTAAAAATACTTTTAAAAATACTTAAGAAAGACACGAAAAACAGTAAAAGATAAAAAAGACACGTGGAAATAGTAAAAAGCTTATTCATTATTGTAATTAGTATATGTAAAAGCATGTACACACTATTAATTATTAATTAATTATCTACTAATGAGATTGCTAGTGCGACTAAGCATTAATATATAATAATCATTAATTAATATTTGTACATATTAATGTTTCCCCGTTCGTTAGGATAATTGTTACTAACAGATTAATTAAATTACACGAAAATTAACATTAAGGCATACGATATTAAGATATAAGTAAATGATATGCATAAATGCATTTCTAAAGCATGAATTATCGCGTTTAAAAAAGTGCATTACGTAATTTTTATGCTTCACAAAATTGCGTTTGACTTATTTTCCATTTTTTTTTAACTTCAATGTACAGTACGCTATACGAAAGTATAAAATCTGAAATTTACATTTGAAATACAAAGCGTCACGTTTTCAACGAATAACGAAGTTATCTTCACGCAATTTCCGTTTAATTTCTTCTCCTCTCTGTCTTTCAAAGCTTTACGTCGTGACTTTGAATTACATATAAAAATGTTAAAATCTAGGCTATAAACATTTGGGGCTTAAACAGAGCGTCGCGTTTCGAGAAGGCAGCGCGTATTTTCGCGCAATTTCCGTGTTTCGAGATCTCGTTTGACCCTTTTCCCCGGTTTTCGAAGCGCAGAAGGATTGAATTGCTAAACCACCGACAATCAACCTCCCCGTTCAATGCGCATGTACGCCGTTGGCCACATCGACCTCTCCGCTCCTATAGCTAGAGAAGCGCTTTGAGAGCGCAAGCGTGTTGGCCATTCCACGCGCCTGCTAACTACGTCGAAATATCGGCAATCGTTCGGGTGCGGATCTGTACGGATCAAAACGTGAATGAACAGCAGAACGCAGAGGCAGTGTAGCCGCGCAACCTATAACATCGTTCCCACTTTTTTACATGGAGAGATAACGCACGCGACGGTACGTGAAGCAGCTCACCGTCAGTCGCGAGCCAGGCGCGAGACGCGAAGGCCAACGTAGAACGCGCGTGTCATGGTCTTCCTCTTATATAAGAGTGCCGTTGTGCCACGGAATTACACAGACAGTGTCAGTGCGTTCGTTCATCGCGGAGTGAGCACTCGCACTCGCGCGCTAAATAAACGCTCTCCGATGTATCGTGTAATCTCTCGCGACTAATTCGACGTCCAATTTACAAAATTAACTTTAAAATAAATATAATAGTGTAAAGTGCGATGGACAACTGATTTTCCTTAAATTTGTGTCAAATACATAAACTCGATAAGGTAACTTACGATGAAAATATTCGTCTCATGCAGGAGAGAATCAATAAATTGAAGCGTTTATTTTTTAGAATCACATACTTTCGAAAACAGAAACTGATTTTATTGGAAGTAGATAAAGAAATTAAATAAAAATAATTAAAGAATTGCAAAAATACTTTTCTAATATGTTTCTTAATTAAATTCTTACAAAGAGAAATATAGAGAATAAGCCAAATCTCTTTTGAAATATAAAAATAATCTTGTTACCTATTAAAAAACTAATTATCTAATAGCTCTTCATTTTATATTTAGCTAAATAATTATATTACAAAATGAAGAATTTTAAAAACAATTTCCTAATTTGGAACATTATGCGTTCAATTTTAGAAAACTTTTCTTTTTCTCAATGTATTTCTCAATGTATAATGTGGTTTAGCAACATCCGGTATGTTTCTTTCCAGGAGGGATTGCTTCATAGAAAAACGTTTTACAAGCGCCATCGGATCGATTGAGATATTATGCGATGACGTGTCGTTGCAATACCATTTGAATCGCATTACCTGCGATACCGCTAAACTGTTTCTTGAGATAACAAGTTAACCTGTCCCGTTATCGTGTCATATTACACAATTCTCGAGACCATTAACTCACGTTGAGAACGCCGTAAAAAATGGGTGGCAGCGGACACAATAGAAGCATCTTTACATACGACACGTTGGTGCACGCGATATCCGGTGCAGCGGTGAGTGTATATTTTACACGTCATAGAAATCGTACTACACGTGTTACCCCATCGCCGTAGGATAACTTTGACATTTCGACATTTCAGGGTAGCGTCGTCGCAATGGCAGCCTTTTATCCTTTAGATACCGTTCGAAGCCGTTTACAATGTAAGCCGTATATTCGTGTCTATCGGACACATGACAAATCAATTATGTGCTCGTTTCCTCCGCGATGCATTGAAATGAAACATCAGCAAGCAAGCCTTCAATTTCATTAAATATGCGATGTCACTCCCGGACAGTATCGCGCTACTTTTTTGTCATGATTTCGTTACCATTAATTCTCGCATCAATAACTTTATGCAAATGCATGCTATGTCTTGTTTCCACTTTCATGATTTCGTTGCCATTAATGCTCGCATCAATAACTTTATGCTAAATGCATGTTATATCTTGTTTTCACTTTTAATTGTCGATATTTATGGCTTCAAGCGTGTGTTTTATAGGCGCATTTTTTATTCATGCGTTTACTCATTCAGACATCAATTTAAATGCATTTGTACGTCATCATGAATTGACACATAATTTCCGTGTCAAATTTAATATAATGAGAGACAAAGCAATAAATGATTCGTTTCAAACATATATAAAACTTGCTTTATGTACGTTTGAAAAGAATAAATTTGTAATTTGTGTCAAAATTCAAGATAAAAACTTTATAAACATTTATAATTTTATTTTATTTCTTATTTAAAGATGCATTTTATTTCTTATGATACTTATTCACAACCTTTATTTTCGCTTCATTCAATAATCTCTTAACCAACCTGCTCTTCTGCTTACAGTGGAAGAAGGACGCCAAGCAAAAAACACATTGGCAATCATACGAGAGCTCATTGCGAAAGAAGGATCGTACGTATACATGCTTTGTTTAATATGTGCTTTCTTAAAACAAACCCGACACGTGTCTCTAACAGATGAATGAAACGTCGTATACTTAAATTATGACAAACCAGTCGAAAAACCAGTTCGAGGAACCGCAGTCGAGAAACCAGTTTCTCTATTAGTCTATTATTGACAAACTCTAGTATAAGCACGTGGATAAGAAATTATTTATTAATCCATATTATCCATATTTTTAAAATGTATGTGGTATAACTTAACTGTTGTTCGTCTTTTTTTCCAAGGTATACGCTGTACAGAGGTATCGTTCCTGTTCTGCAAAGCTTATGCGCGAGTAACTTTATTTATTTCTACACATTCCACGGCTTGAAAGAACTAAGAAGCAAAAGGAATCAAACAGCTGGTGGCGACTTGCTTATTGCATCAATCGCTGGTACCGTTTCTCAATAGAGTATATGTTTCAAGTAATAAAATTCAACTTTTTCCGCAAATAATCAGAGCATTGAAATTTTTTTAGTTACAAGCGATTAAACAAATGTAGAAACTAACTAAAATAATATAAGCAATACTTGAATTGCTTGGAATTATATTTCTCAATTTATTTAACATACTTTTTATCTAAAAAGAATTTGAATCGAAGGTTTAGTAATAAAGATACGTAATTATATTAATAACACTGAAAGGTGTTAAATTATATAGGAAAATTAACAAATTGACATGAGAGAAACAATAAAAATAATTCACTCGAACTTTCCTTCAAGAAAATATAGACTCCGATTTAACGGAAAAAGTTTGCTACGTGTAACATTGGTGGAAACTCATGACACACTATATATCTATACATGTTCGTATCAGGTGTTATCAATGTCCTCACTACGACACCCCTGTGGGTTGTAAACACAAGATTGAAGATGAGAGGTATTGGACTCCCTTCAGAAAGAAATAACAACGAATATACTACGCTGTACGGTACGTTAGAATTCCGTAAAATATTCAAATATTTATTTAGATGAGTGATAATGACGTTTTGATGTTAGTGCGAGTGAAAATTTCATTTTCGATTATTCTTGTATTTTCAATATTGACGGTTCCAATCACGCTTCATTTAAATATCAAACAATATCGTACATAACGATATTAATGCATCGCATATATCCACTGTTTGACGATACATGCATCACACGTGTCAACATGTGCATTCACGAAAATATTCTTCGTCATATGTCGCGAATTTATTTTATCACTTGAAACAATTGTGATATTCATAAGCATTGAGTTATCGCGGAATAAATCATTTTATGGAGATAATAATAAATTATAAATTTATCGCGTGCGTGACATTATCAATAAGATAGAAGAGTTATTGTTCTTCTTCTGAATCGTATCTCATTACATAAAAAAAATGACGTATACATAAATTACGTATACATATACTCGAGTAATAAAAAATTGTGTAAATAATGTATCAGAGACAAATAACTTTCTGATGGTAAATAATTTTTTGTGACCCAGACGGAATAATTAATTTTCATAACATGTAATTCGGTTTTAACATTTTTTTTTTTATTAAGCGGTATCCATAATTAATGTAGAGAATCTAAGCCAATTTTTAGTACTTTTTGAATTTAAAAAAAAAATCTAAAGGACCCCGCAACGGTCATGGGGGGTTTTGGCTCCCAGTCAAAGAGAAAGTTATAGCTTGCTAAAGTTTCTTTGATGACGGCAACTTCAAAAGGTATGACGTCATTTCTTATATAAGGTATGACGTCACAGCACACTTTCGTGTACTAATTTCCTTCAATTTTGAAGATATTGCAAAAATTCAAAAAGTTTACAAAGAAAGTATGCCATGATCTATCAGACCGCTTAATAAAAAAAATTCATGTTAAAACCGAATTCCTTAACTAAACAAATTTAATTTCGAAACTAATAAGATCCCAAATTAAAGATATTTTCGAACGGGATTAGGATTAGGCTCTCTGCACAAGAATAATCGTAACACGTTACGTTACGTTAAGTGCCAATCATATATTTAGATCCGTACGTAAACTTGGACTTTGCAGGTCAACGCACAAAGAAGGACGTAACGTAACAAAAAGTTACATTACGGATTTAACGTGTTACGGACGTTCTTGTGCTGACACTTAGTCTGCATTGTATTTGTTGTCATGTAATACCACGTTAGCGTCTATGTATAACATATTAATTGTTAGGCCTGTTTTCTAATATGTCATCGCGTTTTACAGATGGTCTCCTACACATATGGAAGTACGAAGGTTTGAGACAATTGTGGGCGGGCACGATGCCGAGTCTTATGCTTGTCGCGAATCCGGCTATCCAATTCATGACATATGAAAGCATTAAAAGAAGGATCATCGCATCCCTTGGCGGTGCTCAACCACCGGCATGGATGTTCTTCGTTATAGGAGCGGCAGCGAAAACGGTTGCCACATGGATGACATATCCTTTGCAGCTTGTGCAAACAAAGTTGAGGGTATCGAACATTACTGACATTCTTAGTTTGTTTGAGAAAAAAATAAATTCTACCGATAAAATACCACGCGATGTTCAAATTGCTAAACTATTGTAATTTCAGCATGGGGACAGATATCCTAATCTACCTCCAGATGCAGGCACGTTGCAAATACTATTTTACATTCTAAAGTAAGTACAGATAATGTCACATGAATATGTGATGTATTTATTTTACATTTTATCGTTGCAATTTAAATAAAAGTCGTATGAGTTGCAATTTTTATAAGAGTGATGTAAGAGTGTAATTTTTGCACGCAGGAAGCAAGGAATAAGCGGTTTGTACAAAGGGATGGAGGCCAAACTTTTACAAACTACCCTCACAGCCGCTTTGATGTTCCTGGCTTACGAGAAAATCGCACGATTCGTTTTCCGAATACTTATGCACAAACCTTATCTCAGATAACGATTCATTCCCAATAACGATATTATTACGAAGCGAACTTAAGTCTTGAATCTTAAATCAAATTTTGTACATTCCCACGTATATGTTATCTTCTTTGTATAATTCATGAATAAATATAATAAAATAGCATTGAATTTACTGTATGCAGTATGGTAAACAGCTTGTGTTTAAAAGAACGTATGTTAATCATTCTTTTTTTAATATGTAACATATTTTCAGTAGACATATCATAATTATATTTCAATAGACGTAATTTACATTTCTATTAAGCAAAAAATCCCTGTTAAGTGGAAAAGCCAATATATTATGTAGTTCTGAAATGTACCGACTGATTGAAAATCCATAGCATAATAATGTAAACTTGCAACAGTATCAATATATTTTAAAAAGGTATCGAAAATCACTCGAAAATTAATTAAACAAAATGCAATCACAATATTTCGATAATCGAGTTGGCGTTGAAACGCGCGTAACTTTATCGAGTCCGACGACAACGTGTCAAAAAGAAACGGTTAATCGGGCAATAGAATTTGCAGAAGTATATCCAAGAAAAATGTGACCATACTCGCGTGAGATACTGGCGAGTTCACGAAAATCGCACCATCGTTTTCGGCCGCAATTTCGGTACAAGTTGAATCACTCGGTGTTGCCGCTTTTTCAAACGCGTAAAGTAAATGCGGGACAGCAAGATGAAGGTGCGAAATATGTAAATGTCACCGCGCGACGCGAATACTCCCGCAAGATCGATCGCAAGCGATCCGAGGCGATATTAAAACTTTTGACTAAGCTTAAAATACGCAAGTCATCGAAAAGTCAGTCAAGGTCTAACGATTGCATATCCGCGACTTCCAAGTAAGTAGTTAAAAAGAAAACATATACATTTTCATTATCGAAGATAAAAACTTAAAGCAGAATTAATGCATTACATTTCTTTAGCTTGATGAACGAGATATTCATGTTAATATTTGTTAAATACCTTAAGATATTCTTTCAGTGAGTTGAAATAGGTATTTCATGCATTTACAATATTCTCACTATTACTATAGTCTTCAATTTGTTATAGCATTACAGTTTTCCATTTTTATTAAATTTATCAAAGAAATACGTCAGTAAATAAAAGATAATTTATAATAATAACGAAGATCGAATTTTAATTGCAGCATTAGTCATGCTGGAGACACGATGAATCCATCATTGCGTCGCAATACGTGCGAAAATGCGGTCAATAAAGAACCAATCGGTTCAACGATCGAACCGAAAAGTAAACCGGAATCAAAAACCCCGGTTATATCCTATAATTACGAGGCGGCAATTAGTCAGCCCGACATTCCCATATACTCAAAAATCGACAATAATACGCAAAAGGCGAGTTGGTCGGAGCCCAGCGGTGAATCGTCGGCGCCGACCCAGAAAAGAAACCTTCATGTTTGCGAGAAAGCAGGTGTAACTACTAAAAAAAAAGGAATTGTTTTTAAATCGAAGGTACAAGCAAAAAAGGTTGCAAAAACTCGTCCGTCGATCTACAACGTCGCCGAGATTAAAAAGGAGTCGATACCTTCCGCGGAAATTATTCGAAACGTTGAAAATTATGGGCAGGAAATTAGCGACGGCATTATTACGAATCGCCAAACGCCGTCTAATCTTCACCAAGTTCGTTCCAATAAAATCTTTCTTATTCGCTATACTAATTTTGCAATTAATTTGTGTAATATTTAGAAGAATTTGGTGCATTCTCGAAACGTTCCAAAGACGTCAGGAATTGCAAAAAATGATGAAAATCTTGCGAACAAAGCTGTCGGCGTATTTCAAGAAAATTCTGATAAAATTGATAAAGATAGAAGATCGTGTATCCCTCAAAATAAGATCAGCAAAATTCCACGCATAAAACTTCCGATAAAACCTAATTCCTTACATATACATGGAGAATCTCGCATTTATCCGGTATAATTACATATTTATTTGATCAAACAGAGCATTAATTTTTTAGTACGCCAATCTTTAAATAATTTTAATTAACAGAATCCCAAATTATCAGCGTGGAATGAATTAAAGTGTTCCACAGATATGAAATCGTCCACGGACAATGAAGAGGAAAAGTTGATATTCGAGTACGTGAGTAAAGTAAAAAAATAATTATAACTTGTATCGGCAAGCTAATTGCATCATAAGTTAATGATCATTAAATGCTTATTTTTACATTTATATATAAAAAATATAATCAGATCTCTTTTAAATATAAAAAAGTAGTTACTAAATAATCTTTAGTTATAAGTATTAATGACTATTTTGTTGAATAATTATTTATTTTTATCCTATTGATACAATAAATATATCTCGTTTGTACAATTTGCAGTATAATCAAATAATTTGAATCAACACGTATAACATGTTAATAAAATTGAAAAACAGTTCAAACAGGGAACCTTGGAATGCAGTGAACTATCAACAATTAAAAACCAAGAACATCTTACCAACCGTCCATGAAAATTCGTAAGTCAAGTCTTTAAAAAGATAGATATTTGTTATTTTACATGTTAAAAAATTTTATCAACAATTTAAGTGAAATACTTTTCGCTTAGAAATCTTTGGTGTCTCGAAAAAAGTTCAGAGATGGATGCTGATGAGGAATTCGAGGGAGATTTGCCGACACCGAAGGAATCGCCGAGTATTACAGGCGCTGGCGACGATCCGCGCTCCGTCACATTGTTAAAAAGCTTAGCGTTAAAATGCGAATGTCGATCGTGCAATGATCATAAATACGCGTCTACTGTTCGTGTTGATCAACGTACCGAGACCGAATCGTGGAGTTCTCCCGAAATAGAAAGCGCGAGAAAATGGTAAAAAAAAAATATTTATTTCGCGAGATGAAAAAAGTCCTCGAATTCTAAATTAAATTCTATGTTTAATTAAACTCTGTGTTTAATTATGTTCAAATAGTTATGTATATACGCTGCAATTTATATGCAGGAAATCAATGAGGCATCGTAAATCTATCGATGTGAGTTCCGAGGATTTAGACTCGTCGGATTGTAACGCTATTAATTATGACGGCAAGATGAATAAAAAGGATAATGGGTCAAATCTTACGAGTCATAATACGAAACCATCCTCGATAGTTAATCACACAAGAATGAAAACTTATCGAACGACCAGTTTCTCTTTCTTTAACGTCTTTTTCGATATTGTTTTCTGGCCTTTCGTTTTTCTTCGTGCAAAACAATGATACACGCAACAATATTGTATCATAAATTCATATTAGTTATTATTACATGACTTGTCGATATTTTGATTCACCATAAGTGATATTTTTCCATAACAATGAACAGAGAACAAGAATAGGAAACATCTTTGAAATAATTTATAGAAAAGCATATACATAAACTTAATTTAAATCATTTATAAAAAAAACTCAGATTTATTATTAAAGATTTATTGTTATATCGTATTTATATTCTTGTTAGTTTCTTTGATAAAATTCTTGAGAATGACAAAATGCATATAATAAATTGTGCAGGCAGGTCATATAATAATTTTCATTATTACAAAATGCAATTATTTTACTCACCAATTGTAGTTGGAGCAAAGACACACACACAGCTTGAAGTTCCAATCTCTCCCGATCCTCGAAGATTACTCCTCGGATTATTCCAATAGATCCCGTTATAGAGGCACAAAGCACCGAAATCACAATATCACAATCGTAGTAATTAAACACGGAATTGGATAGGTTTTTTATTAAATGCAAAAGACGCGCGTCTAGTATTTGGTATCACATACTTAAAATGCCAAAAATCCGCCACTCTGACTGATTCTATGCACAATACAATGAGACTGCTCAATATTTTCCTCAACACATCTGCTACTATGCATTTATCATCATGCAATATTTATTCCCAATAACTCATAATTCGCGAATATATAATACGTTATTAATTTTTATAAGCGCGGCGGCCATATCATTAATCGCAATAATTTTTCACACTTATAATGCAGAAAATAATTATTCCTTATTATAAATCTTATCAATCGCTACAGAAATAAACATTATTTATAATTATTATGTGAATGCGAATATTATACGTGCTAATTCATGCGGATAATTTTTAATCAATCACGCAGCACTAACTGAAATAAATTTAATTTACAGAGCAGATATTAGCAGTGACCACGGCTAATAAAGAAAATTATCGCAATCTCTGCTAATTAGTAAAAGTACCCTTATTTACTTCATATAGCAATATATACTACTTCATTCATATAATTTCATAAATATAGCAATCACAGCGTTAACTTAAAAATAATTTCATGCTTTCAATCTACGAAAACAGTCATCAGCAATGATTATGGCTAATAAAAATTATCGCAATCACTGCTAATTATTACAAATAAGGATATCATCAATTACTACATGTACAAACACAGCATATTAATTTATGCATATATATAATCTCATGAAATTAGCAATCTCATAACGTTAATTAAAATGACTTCATGCTTCTAATCTATAAAACAACTATCAGCAGTGATCACGGCAAATGAAAATTATCGCAATCACTGTTAATTATTACAAACAAGAATGCCATTAATGACTACATCTATACATATAAAAATACTGCATGTTACTTCATGCACATAATCTAAGGACATAACAAGCACAACATTATTGCGATTTCGTGGTTTTATTTTACAATACAATTACTAGTGGTGATCGTGGCTAATGTAGAAAAATGATCACGATTACTATACTAATCGATTACATTACTATACAAACATATAAAAAAAATACTATCTCCCCAACTATCTCTTAATTACTACATGTAAAAATCGCCAATTACTTTCTACGTAAGTACTGCACTTTTTAATTCAAGCATGATCAGCCTGATAAAAAATCCTACGATTAACGCTACAGTCGCACGGCGCTAAGTTGACGGATCTCTGATTGACAGGACCATTATTTTCGTCACTACCGGTAGCTCCACGTATATCTTCATGTCATACTTTTTCTAATTGACTCAAAATTATAATCCAGTGCAATAATGCAAACAATTGTCGATAATTATAGCGCTTACTATCAATTACGTGTTAACTACGATCGCGAGAATCGCGAATCTCTCGCGTGCTCGCGTCGTCAAAGATGGTAACATACACTACCCGTGGCGGATTTTTCATCAGACGCGCGTCTAGGACCTCGCTGTCACAGGGATTACCGAACCAAATTGGAATCAGAAGCCCTAGAACGCCGAAATTCAGTGAATCACCACTGATTCACTGATACGACTCGTCGATTCACCGGCTCACACATCCACTGATACTCACTCGCGATGCACGTCACAACACATATCCGACACATTTCGCGGAACAGTCGCGATAATCTCTCCCGCGCGAGATTCATTATTGCGGCACAGACCTTCACTTTACGCGCTAAAGACCGCCAGAAACACGGAGCGGATCGGAGCCACGACTCCACTAGCCACAGTAGCCATTGCGAGGAGTACGTTAATCGTCGGCGTCGCTTTCGAAGTTCGAGAATCGCAATTTCACCCATCGATATATCTCGAGGCGGGAGCGAGCCAATAGCGTTGCGACGTGACGAGTCGAGGTGGCAGGGTGCCACCGGGGGCCATCTTGGTTATCGGCAGAGAGAGGCCAATCCCGGCACTCGGCGTTCGTCTACTCGTTTGTAGTCGACACGAAAAGAAACAGAGTATTCGGCGTACATTCAACTTGCAACACACTCTGTAACCGGAGGATTTCTTTTCGTTCACGAGAAAGAAATTACATACACGAATGACCCGCCACTCGTACCGACCGACCGACGTTCAACGAGTAACGTATCTTGCGCGCGCGTCGCGCGGCACGCAGCACGCAGCACTCGGCACTTCGGCAGTCGCGACCGTTGAATGAATCCGCCGATTTCGGAGCAGCGTATGTTCAAAGTCGGCGCGCGGACGATTGTTTCCATCGGCGAGACGGCCTCGCTACTTGTTTTCGTCGACACTCGGAATACCGTTACCCGCGGATGAATTTCGGACAGGTGCTCCGTGTTCCGTGCTCCGTGCTCCGTGCCGTGGGTGCTGTTGGAAGATTCACACTGCGTCCGATGTTCGACGTACGACGATCCGAAATCCAATAAGAAATTTTTGTCTCTAATAATAAATTCTGTTATTGGATATCGGATCGTCGTACGTCGAACATCGGACGCAATGTGAATCCTCTATTATTCGGAACGCGCGCTTGTTCGTGCGATTGGCATTCCTGCTCCTCGTTTCGCGGGAATAGTCGACGATGCGCTTAATAATTTGCGTCAAGTATGTTATCAAGTGTCGTGAATGAATTAATGTGTCGCGCGAATCGCTCGCTTGAGGCGGAGATGTCGAGAGCGTCGAGGCGAAGGTATACCTGGTACGGCAATTGTGAGTTGTAAGTGATTTGCAGTTTCGTCGTGATATTCGCGGACGATAATTGCTCGTCCCGCCCCTCGGGGGTTATCGCGTTTGCTTCGGGAATGCCGTTCAAGTAATCGGACTAAAGGACTTTCTTAAACGAGAATGCCGTACAGTATCGCGCGAGAAAGACTTTTATACTAAAATTAGTCCGCGCGCGATTGTAGTTTGTTATCCGCGAGTGTTTCTCGCGAGTGTCCTGTGCGGTGAGAGGAGGAGGCCTGACGTCCTCTGGGAGGAGGAGGAGGTCTGAGAAAGACATCGGGCCCCGGCGGAGCAACCTTGGGGTGAGTATATATCATTTTTTATCTGCATAAAATTAATAGTTTTTCCTCATTTATTCGGAGTTTTATTTCGATAAGCTAAAAATAATTAGAGAAAAAGGAATTATTTAAAATTTTATAAAAATTTATTTTTGTAAATATTTTTTCCGGAAAGTAGATAATTATATCAGTGAATCTAATTGAAAGACGAATTTAGATGCGCGTAAAATTATGTGTATCTTTTGAAACATTTATCATTTTCAGCGCCTCTTTAATTTATATCTTTCGTTTTTGTTACAGTATCATCGTAGCTACGTGGCCGCATTACTCCGCCCGTTGCGCATCGGATCGGTGAGTGACGAATTTTTTATAATAGTATATGGGGTAACGAATTTGTAAGACCAATATTAGATATATTTATGTATTGTATCTATATAATAGTACTATAGATAAATGCGACTTCTTAGAAATCCGTTGCCCTAAAATGGATAGACAAGATCAGACGTACTAGGCTAAATAATTAATCCTGGAGCATCATCATTATTTATCGATTTATTGTGCTTACGGGAGAACAATACAGAACCACATAAGCACATACGTACCATAAGCACATACGCACATAAGCACATACCAATAGCACCCATAAGCACATACGTTATGTCAATGCATTATTTATTAATGCATCTATTATAATGTTATTTGTATCACAGAACATGCGAAGTATATACCAGTTGCTTGAAATTTATAGGCACGTATTTAAATTTGGCAAATATACACGGAGAAAAAAATAATGTTGTATCAACAGCCTGAGTCATACAGCAATTAATATCAACTCTGTATTAAATACTATTGCACAAATCACGAATCTTTCGCGCACTCGCGTCGGCAATGCAACATATTTTACTCACTGACGGTTTTTTTATTAGATAGGCGCCTAGAATTTTTTAAACAAACACTCGTGCAGTAAAAACTTGTATTTTATGCGATAAAGATCGAGAGAAACACAGTGCAATAGGAGATGCAAACCTTTCCAACGCGTTTTCTACTCGTCTGCGTCTCTTTCAAAGTTTTGAAACGTTCGCCCATCGATATATCTCGAAGCGAGAGGGAGCCAATCGCCGAGCGGCGTAAGCGTAATATCGATCGAAATTTACGGGCGCGTCTGGCCTTCTCCCGTTCTCCGCCTAACCTCATTTCGTACGCTGACAACACCGACAACATGGATGTCGATACAGCGAGTGATAATACGTCCATCGATGACAAGATAGACGACTTTTGCGAAAATCCTACGCGAGATGCGTTAACGGAGGGTCTCATGAGCCTCCTGAAACCTACAGTGGACCAGCTGGATGACAGAATTCGCGCTACGAGGTAACCGCAATTATTTCCTTTCGATTCGTTGCAGGGCCCATGAACGAACGATAGATTTTCCTTTAATTTCACTATCGTATTTTGTGTGTTTATCGTGTCTACGATTCTTTTGCGGAACGTAATATTAAACGAACATTTAATGTCTACTTTTATTGATTCGTCTATTTGTTTTTTGTTCGAAATTATGTTGCGTGCAAATATCAAGACGAGTTTATTGGGTTTATATGACTGTTCTTTTCTGGGTAGGATATGCCAAATTGAGCTGAAGCAACGGATTGAGACCTTAACGGAGGAACTTCAGAGGATCAACGAAGCACTGCAGTATCCGCTAGACACAGACTCCTATGTAAAAAAACTTGTTAACGCTAAGCATAAGATCACCATTGTTAGCAACATCTTGCAGACCACTCAAGAGCGCTTGAACAAGGTGCATCAAGCTGTCGAGAAGAGCACTGCCAAACGAAAGACGCTCTTAGATAATAGTTCCACATATAGCAGCGTAACTGTTGACAAAGAAGAGTCAGCTAAAGCGGAGACTGATAAGCAGCAATAATTTCTTATATTAATTGTGTAATTGATAAGATATCATGACCAAATTGTTACTGAAAGATTATTTATACTTTATATAAGTTTTATATAAGAACTTATTACATTTTTTCTTACAAGTTATGGAGACCCCGATAGTTAAATTGTCTGATGAGGAGCTCAAAACAGTTTATGAGCCTTCTGAAGATTCGTATCTTTTAATAGATGCTTTGGAAGCAGATTTAAAGATTCTGCATACTATAAAGCCAAGGATTTGCTTGGAAATAGGTAGTGGCTCTGGTATAGTTATCACAGCTTTAGCAATGGCATTGAAGAGACATAATGTTCATTTTGTTGCAATTGATATAAATCCTGATGCATGTAAGGCCACGAAAAGAACTAGTCTGGTTAATTCAGCCGACGTAGATGTCCTTCAAATGAATTTGTTAGATTGCATACAAATTAAATATACATTTGACATTATTTTATTCAATCCCCCGTATGTAGTTACAGAATGTAAGGAAGTATTAGATGATAGACTTGTATTCAAGACTTGGGCAGGTGGCAAAAATGGTAGACAAGTTATGGAACAGGTATTCACTACGATTCCCGAAATCTTGTCAGATACAGGCTTGTTTTATTTAGTTGTTATCAAAGAAAATGATCCTGAATATATCTTGAGTGCTTTTCAAAAATTGAATATGTCTGGTGAAATTGTTCGTGAACGTAAAATAAGAGGAGAGCATTTGTACGTTTTACGTTTTCATAAAATCAAGGAAATGAGAAGTTAACATTACGCGTAATATTCATAGGACATTTTAAAAGTTTCTAATTCTATAGGAAGTAAAAGAAAGCATTATTATTTCATTAATCATATGCTAAGTCTAATTAATATTTATGGTGATTAACTGCAGGTATTTAAATCATATTAGCTTGCACTTTTTGTAGATAACTATAATATTTGTATTATTTGTAAACTACTGTTATGTAATATATAATTGCAATTAATACAGGTATAACAGAGTGTATTGTCTAAAATAAAGACCCTCTAATCAGAGTCTGGCCAACTTGACAGTTCTGGCAAAATTCTGCGAGAGAGAAGAATATAAGAGAGAAAGAGGAAGCGATATACATTCATATCGCTTTCTCTTTCTATTTCTCTGCTTTTGCCAAGAAATGGCGAACCAATTAAAAGTTGCTACCGTATGGCTAGACTTTGATTAGAGGGACTTTAGTTTAAAACAATACTGATATTCCTTATCCACATACTTTTATTATATCTTTAGCAGTAATTGTTCGTTTAAGATAATGAAAAAAGCCATTTCTTTTTTACAAATATCATAATTTATTTTCGAATACTTAAGATTTACATTATGCTGATATTAAAATATCGCAATAAATACCACCACGCATCGGTATTCAAGCATTACACAAAATGAGCACTCTCGTTATTCGAGGACTGCACGAGTAGCTTGTTAGATATTTATAAATTAATAAGTAAAATATGGCTACTTCTCTGTTCTGCCATCGAGCAGAATAAGTTTTCTGTTTGAATGAAAATAACGTTTTATAAAAATCTATTTATAAATATTAAAAGCAACAAGCTGAATAAAATTTCTGCTGTTTGCAATTGTTGAATAACAGCTATTTTAAATATTTTAGGATGTTTTCTTTCGATGTTCAGCAATTTCTTTGTGGTTGAATGATTACGAAGCGATAAGATAATCCTCTTACTTTAAGTTATTTGATTACTGGCACGCGCTCGTCATTTCCTACGTAAACTTTCTGGTATTATTACGATAAAGATATTACAACAATAATACCATCCTACGAATCCACGAATTTCGGTCTGCGAATTCGTTGCAATTTAACATATAATACAACCGCGCTTATAGTCGCGACGAAGATTGTGCTCAACATAAGGAAGAAGGTCGTGTAAAATCCACTGTTACTCATGCAGACCTCTTTCGCTTTTATCATCGTTTCAACAGCCGTTTCCTCCATACTATCTAGGACCTGACTGGACGCTGTGCTCAAGTCATCTAACATGATTACTTTGAAACGCCGCCCAACACGAACCGGATCTGATAACAGAACCGAATTCGTCCAGTTGCTCGAAGGTGGTGCATATGTTACCGATCGACGACGTCTTCCTGGCTCGATTTGCTAAAACAAATTGTTTTAAATATAATACATAAACTGTATAGAAAAATGAAAATTTTTTTAATATGATTTATTGCATAAAATAAGCAATTATTAAAAATGTTTTATGAAATTTTGTATGAAAAAATGTTTTGAACTGTTATACGAAATGGGTGATTTTAGAGTATGTCATGCAAATGCTATTTATTGATTTCAGCGGAAGAGACAGGAGACAGACAATTTAACGAATACAACATATAACATATTTGAATTCATTTTTGTGTCTTACTTGATTTGCTTCCGGACAAGGTTCGCAATTAGTTTTACATAGCTCGATGTTGCATTCGATGTACAAATCCATAACATCGGGGAATTTAAAGGCTTGGAAGAACGCATAACCGATAATAGAAGCGCCTGTATTGCCGGTGTCCTTAGTCTTTTGGAAAGCACCGAACAGCTTCGGTTTCAAAATGCAGCCTCTTTCGTCGGTGAGCTGCAGCATGTTGGTCGAGGCTTCGTCTCGCGCCAAACAGTCGCGTACCTTAAAAATAATTACAACTGTTTGCTTAATTTATATTTTTTATTTGCAATTAAATCTAGATGAAATTTTGTTGTCTTAAAAATAAAATTAGAACACGTTGATGAATAATTATTAGCTTGCAATTATTCTTTGCGTATTCGTGACATTTAATTATATATGTTTATTTTTCTCTTTGTTGGAACAGGTAATTCTATTATATAAATTATCATTATACGTTTGGGATAGTTTTCAATGCGCACCTGAAGATCGAAACCAGGATCGCCCTCCACGGAGACTACTAAGGTCATTGTTTCTCCGATCTTTACGAGTCCATCGGCTGCGGGTGCGAAAGGTCCTTTGCCGATTTGAATATCCAGTTTAGCTGTCGCAGTATCGCCACTAAAGGTAACGATCTCCTGGTTCAACATATCTACTGAGAGATTCACCGTTAGGGCCTTATTGATGTTCCCTTCCCAGAGGCATCGTACTCTTCGAACTGTATCCCAGACTTCTTGTATACCCGGTTCATTCTTTAGCAATAAGAATTTTTTATTTCAAAGTCTAATAGTTATCTTCAATCACGTAATTTTTTTGCGAGTTAAATCTAATAAATAAAATCCGAAGATAAGATAGAAAGTCAAGCTAGTAAATTTAGTTAGTTCGACACCGACTTGTAATACGAGGACGTTTTCCAAATACGCTTGACCAGCTTCACCCTCGAAATCGTTGATGAACTGAGTTCCGCAGGTATCTAGATTCACGGTGAAAGAATACATCGTCGAGCCAGAATTTTGTTTTACGTAGGTACATTCCGGGTTCATATAAAATCCCTGAAATTGGATAAAATCGAAACATTATTATCGGTCATTATTTTTAGTGTTAGAAAGCGTTTTGGTACTTACCTTAGAATAAATAACACCGTCGAAAGCTCGATTGAATTCGATATTGATTGTCATCATGTCCTTACTGCATTCGACGTCAAGATTATGGATATGCGGGGGATGATTGAGATCGTCATCAACGGTCTCTGGAAAATAAAATTGCAAATTATTTGCTCATGCGTTTTGTATTTATATTATACTGACTGTAGTTAAAAAATATATACCTCCAGTTTCAGTTTCAGAAGTTCCAGGAGTTTCAGGAGTTCCAGGAGTTCCAGGAGTTTCAGGAGTTCCAGGAATTCCAGGAGTTCCAGGACCTCCTCCTGGAACTCCTGGAGTACCTACATTAGTGCCTGCGTCAACTTCACCTGGTGTAGTAAAGGGAGGGGATGGTCTTCCGGGAGTTGAATATCCACCCGTCGAAGTAGATCCCCCGGTCGGACTGGGATAGCCTCTTGTCGGGGGTGGTCCTGAGGGTCCTAAGGAACAGCCAAATGCTATAAATCTGGTAACTTTCGGTTTATTTGATGTACAAAGTTCATTTTTGATGCTGCATTACTTAATACTATATTTAGAATTTTTTTCCAGAGTATTCTTGTACATTTGAATGCGTGAATTCTATACCGGTACGTCCATCTATAAAGAAGAGAGGCTTACCGATGGAAGGAGGCGGTCGTGGACTGGTCGACGGGTAAGACGGCGGCTGCGGCGGAAGGTAAGTGGACGACGTTTCCGGGGGATTCAGTGGCGGAAAGGCCGACGAACCCGCGTTAGTGTACGAGGGCTGACTCGGTCGAGGGCTGTAGGACGAGGAGCCTCTGAAGCCTTGCGGCACGTATGTCGATGAGGGTTGTTGGCTTGGTCTCGGTGTAGAAAATGGCGTGGAAGGTTGCCCGGATGAGTAACCGATAATCGGCGGAGTGTAGACCGACGACGGCCGTTGAGGAGTGTAACCCGTTACATCGTTTTGTTGAGGAGCTGGCTGGAAGGGTCGCGGTTTTTCGGGCGGTCGTTGGGTGCTGAAGGGCGGCAAGTACGCATTTGAATCTGATTGCTGGCGAACTGTAAAAATACGTGGGCTTGTCGAGAGTGAGAATCTACTGTAATAGTTTCGATGAACATAACGATGGCATCAATGAAAAGTATTCTAAAAGACTGCGAAACCAACTTCTTAAACGACACACAATAGATTTCTTTCTACTTAATTAATTATTTATTTACCATTTACAAAATCTAAATAAGTAAGGTATTACATAAATTAAGAGAACTACATTATAATTATTATACTGTTTGAAGCTTACAATTGATAAAATAGGATTGGAAAGCGATTGCCATAAAAATTAAAAATATATATATACTTATAGTAGTTTTCATTGAAGCTATCAATAACCGAAGTCTGTGAACATCTTTTAGTTTATACGCATTCGTTAGTCTCTTTTGAATGTTAATTATGAAAAACAAGAAGCTAAAGAAAAGTGCATGTTCTAAGGAGTTAATTAAGAGTGCATTGATTTAATAGTGGTTCGTAAGAGAAAACGATATATTGCAGGTCGGAACAAGCGTGCATTAAAGCCAATCCCAGCGTCGAACATTACTTCCGTGATGTCTAGGTTTCACGTTAAAATGATTGATTAGTAGCGCGGCAAGTTATGGATTAGTAATTTTGTGCGTCTAAATCGGTGCGGCGGTATCGGCTGCGCATAGTTGCAGCTTTCTTTTGCGCAATATATATCCGTGGTACTAGCGTCCATCTCTGACCATCAGCGGCACTGAACTGTCTATAAATCAGCGCGCAAAGTTAGACAGCTAAATTCGATTCATGAGAATAAAGAATACTCGTTAATTTGCGCGTACGCCGACGGGGACGGCTCCGTCATCGCGCCGTTTCCTGTCGACGACGACGACGACGAAACTCGGAAACCTACTTTTACGTGTGCCCTGCTGGTAGATGCCTTGAATCCACTCTAGGATATTTTGTGCCATCATGTCTGCCGGCGATACCGTGGCAGCAGCCCGTTGGACTCTCGAGCGTGCTAATGAATGTTAAACCAGTTCGTTTGTGATCAAATTCATATTTATCACCACAACAACTTTAGCTCTCCTCTTTCTCCTTTGACGATCGCGCTTAAGGCGGACTCGTAGAATGCTCTCGCAATTTTTTTCTCTTACCGGGCTCCGCGTCCGCGGTTCTCACAAAGAGCGCGTGACCGCCGAAGTCTTGGCCGCACATCGCTGCATCCGAGAGAGCGACGACGAGAATCGCCGCGATGAGCCGCATCCTTGGCCTGTAAATTTTATTTCAGTTAATGACATGGCAGGATTCGCGTTCTTTCTTCACGTTGCTGTGTCAATACTCTCGATTTCGGGCGGAATTGCTTCAATAGAAATAATCGTGATCCGCGCGAAATCGCTTTCGATGCTGGGAAGGGTCAAGCGTCGTTGACTCGCAACTGAGAGAATACGAAGGTATATACCCAAGGATGATGAATCGTAGATGCGGCGGTCTCCCCGTCGAAAGTAGAAAGTGATCATTATGAAATCTATGACCATGATCGCAGCTTTTGACAGTTGACGTCACCGTGCGAGCGAGATGACTTATTGTGAGAAGAGGAACGGGAGAAGAGAGGAACGCGTGTGTGATTTCTCCTCAAGGTCTGGGTTTCCGTGTTCTGGGACGACGTACGTGAAAAACTGCGTTGTCGGTTATGAAAATCGCTGTTTACACGTTATATCTACGTGTTTAGACGCGCATTAGGTGTTTCTTCAAGGTCTCCACGTGCGTGCCGGAGCACGTGAGCTGCACAAAGAGCGACTACGTTAGCCCGACCGTATCCATCGCGAATTTCGAAAGTAGCATCGCCGAAGGATATATTACGGTGGTTTTCTAATTGGAACCGTAATTGCCGGTGAAATATACTCAAGGTTCCGAATCGCGGACGCGAAATGAAATTTATCCTTCTCGCAAGGATTAACGGCAAGGATTATTTCGGCAACGCGATGACTGTACAGAATAATTGTCCTGCCGCCAAGTTGCAGCTGGCTGGATGATCTCCAAGGTCCCAGAACATGGCGAAATTAATCGCCGTAGGGAAAAAAGTAAGAAACCGCAATTGTTTCAACAGAGCTTTAGCGGAAAATTTAGCGTGCGAGTAATGGCGCTCGTTCCTTAATCTCGGATCGCGATCGCTGAATATCTTTTAATTTGGAGCTGGGGTCGTTTCCATTATTGTTCGCTTCTTCTCACGTGCTGCGCCGTGTATGTTAGCGGCGTGTTTCGTCAGGCGGGATTACAAGCGGCATAATCGTGCCGTCTTGTCTCACATGTCTCATAATTCTAGATTACCTAGTTGGGATAATTTATGGTCATGTTCACGAGCACTTAATCTCGTGTTTTTGGTCATCCGGATGTTTCTTTTGTGTAGGTAACACAGCATTCTTTCATGGTGATCTTAATATTATAGCATTTGGGAACATTGTAATCCAGTTTTATGTACGAGTTTTGTTCGCATGTAAACAATCGCGTTTTTTTTATATGGTCTCCTATGAAACAAATAAAATATTTATTACAAATTAAAATTTGAGCAGAACCGCTCTTTCTCTCTCTCGATGCATAAATAAAATTCGTAATTTGATGTATGAATAAAATAGACAGTATTAACGATTATGATGTTATTAACATTTTAATATTTAATTCAATCAAACTCGCAATTATAACAGAAACAATAAATAAATTCCAATTCGTGCGATAATAATCCTTGTATGAAAATAATTACTGAAATACGATATAATTGCAGCCGTGATATTGTGCACATATTGTGATATTCAATCATCCGCACGACTTAACAGATAATTATTACTTGTTCGCATTACGAAATGCAGATTTCGCACGACTTCTCGGTTAAAGAACTTTTTCTTCAGGTGCGCCTAAATGAGTGTCATTATCTCGTTACACGAACTTGAAATCCAACGGTCATTCTCGGTTAATTCGATGCTGTACCAATGGGAGACACGGGAAAGCATCGTCTATCCTCGCGCGGATGCTTTCCATCGCCTTAGTTTTATGCCATGGATCCGCCAGTGAAACCGAATCGTGACGCGACCGCCTTCGGTTGCTACCCGCACTCGTACGATCTGATGCATCCGAGCGCCGATGCCGCGTCGGATCGGTGAGGTAAAAGATCGAGAAGTCAACAGTGGAATCGTGCTTGAGCAAGGTGAAAGGTGAAAGTCGCAACGCGCCGGCTAAGAGGACCGTACAGATACCGGCAGGCATGCTTGCTTTTACACGTGTTGAAACATATACGTACGCATTGAGAGATTTATCGCGGAATCTCTCTATCGTTCGATAAATTAGATAAATCAGTGAGTTTTTCCCCTTATACATTTATTCATTTAAGTTGATCGATAATGTTGCAGATTTTTTATTTTCTAGTATTTATTTTAGCTCCATATTCGTGATTGGCTAGATAGAAACATTCATTTCTCCGCGGAATTCTGATTAGTTCTGCTTCTTTGAATCTTTGATCTTCCGATCATACGTTTTTGACACGCGGATTTTATCTCATTCCGCAAACTTTTGAGCCGAAGAATCCTTGTAGCAACCGTGTATGTGAAGTTTTTCTCGAGTCTCACGATAGACACATTACGAAAATAAGTATATGCTGGGAAAGAAATTCTCGTTGTGATAATAGCAGGGGATTGGACTCGATTGCACAAGTCAGAGATTCCAATTAGGTTTAATCAAATAAAAATTACGAATACACACGTGGAGACTGTGATGGCAAGATAAACTCGTTAAGATAATCCGATTTAAAAAATGTGATTCCAGTGAGAAGAATTTAATCTCGTGGCGATAGTTCGAATTCTCGAGTATAAAAAAAAAGACAAAGTTAATTAACCTTTAACTATGTACACATTACACAATAATAAATTACATTACATTGTAAAATCTTAAGAAGATTTCTACTTTTAATACTTTTATATTAAAAAAAAAGAAAAATTATAATATATTAGTCATTATGTTTGCTACTTGTTTCTTTCTGCACAAAATTTAACTTTATTTGTTTCTCTATAAAAAAAAACAGTAAAATAAGTAGATGTCCCATCAGAGACTCCACATCTAGTTGAGGGTTAAGGTTGAACGTAAATTTTCATCGACAATTGCCGTACTTGTCTGAGAAAATTACATTTGTTAATTGCGTCTATTCAACGTAATCGCTACACGCGCAACATGTAATTGATACCTATGTCGATATCATTAAACTGCTGAGCGACGAACGGTTGATTGTTGTGGTTTCGTGACGCGTGCGCGTTGCGGAGGATTTATGCGCCAATTTCAGTTTTTCCATTCGTTTCTATAATTTGGCGAACGCAATATCACGCTGTGGTGTACACCGCCGCGCCGCGCCGGTACGATATTCTCGATCTAGTTGGGGTCCCCGTCACGTCGCAAATCAAATTAACGCGTCGCTACTAATTACGCGTTAATTAACACCCCGCCCTACCTCGCGCTCTCTTTTGGCGCTGCGTGGGGAAGGCGCATTCTTTCGAAATTCTCACCGACACCGTCGACGTATTGGGATATCATAATTTGTGCCTCAAAGAAACACAGCCGCCTTGATGTCTGCGTCTCCGCATCGTGCAATTGTCGTGCGAAATTCGTGTAGCTTTGCGCAGGCGGTCCGGCCGTAACGTTGTTGTTTGCGGTCGCGCGATTAGGCAAGTGTAGCATGCACTTGAGATGCTGCGGTTTTCGTCTCGCCACATCGCCGGCCGCTTCGTTGCCGATGTCGGCATTTTAATAACGAGGCGGGACAGCACTCGTTTATTATGGAGATTTCGTAACGAGCGGGACCGTGTCTCGCGCCGTGGAACTGAGCTACCCGAAGTTATTTTGATTTTAAATTTAATGTGTGTAGACTGCTTAGTTATCGGCAGGGATTATAACCGGAATCGAACGAATACTATTAATATATAAAAGTCCAATATAACATAGGATGTTAAAATTTTTTTATGTAGCTTTATACTTGGAGATAATTAATATTACATTATTCACTATAATTCACATTGTGTGGTTGTTGCATACACAACAGATGAATACGAAATTAAATTTTGTTATGATATAAAACGAAATTTTCTTTATATTAAAGTTCCAATATATTAGTATAGTCTAATATAATCTAATATATTAGTAATAATTATTTCCACAATGTTTTTGAAAAATTATTATCTGACCTACTTCTACTCGCGACATATCAATTTTAAAACTCGCTTCAAAAATCACATTTGATTTTTAATTAAATATTCTTTATATTATATACGTATATATACACGATATAATGAAGTTGATATTATCCAACGGTACTGTATTAACAGCAGGTGGTAGATGAAGCTATGGCGATGCGTCTTTCCGTGAAACGCGCAATATTTCAACGACGGCGAGCGCGAAATTATTCGTAGCATGTTAAATTAAATTCGATATCAAGCGGGGAACTGTTCGGATGCTAGACGTTAATGGCACGAATGGCTAATGACGAAACGATTTAAGTGTACAGGCAAGCGGTTTGTGGCCGGACTCAGATCTCGCGCAGTGAAAACTGTTACGTCCAATAGGTCTGGGTTACGGGGACATCGATTTCCTTATACACATCGGCGTACATACGCGCGAATGCCGCCTGCCGCTGAAACCGACCGTGTCGACCGACGTGAAAAATCACCGACGTCCGCGCGTGATTTCTACCGTACAATGTCAGCAGTCGACAATTCCAAATACGTAACTCCGTATAATGCGCGATAGTCAGAAAAAAATGGGTTTTCGTTCGGACGGCCACATTCGGCGACGGCAAGAGTCACGCGAGTGGAACTCCTTGGCCGTGTTAACCGACGAATCTTACATTTTCACCGTTTTTCCCCCGTCGTTTTTCACATTTTCTTTCGCCGAATGATTTACGCACTATCAGCCTCTTTCGGTCTCTCGCGTTTCGAAGAGGAATAGCCGTCCTAGAGAAAAAAGTTTACGATCGTCCGTCAAAGATTCGGCTGCGGATTCTGCGCCGGGCGATAATTTGTTGTTACGATATAATCGCGATTTTTTAAGTGACCGCAAAAACGTGCCCCCTGGGTACGCGCTTGGCTGGGAAAGCGTGAACTTTAGTGTTAAATTCCTGGGATGAGGCATGCGCGTTTTTCAAGCCCGTTCATTGACATTTAATATATTCTTTGCGCACATACGAGCACGGTTTAATCATCTCTTTCTCCTTCTTTCTCTCTCTACCATCTCCCCGTGCGGTCCCCTTCTTTTCTCCTTTTTTTGTCAAGCTCTTCACACACGTGTCTTTATTATTATCTAGTGCTGTAGAAAACGCATTTTAAGTACCGTGACTAGCGAAAGGATGTCAATACCGTAAAGATGTCGATACAAAATTACGATGCTATGAACATTGCGAGATGATTTTGACGATTCACTCTGTAGAAAACATTTTCAAATTTCTTGCTTAAAAAAAAAGAAATCTTAAAATATCTATAAAATTGATATCTGTATTATTTTGTAATAAAATAATTAATGATATATTTTGATGACATGTAAATTAGGACTCCACAAAGCTCTTCTTTTAATTTAAATGATGCATTTAGGTCAAAAATCTTTTGTTGGCAGTTGTATTTTTGAAGTAGGTCATCGATTTCTATGAAAACGAAATTATTTTCTTTCAGGGATGAACTTATTTCTCTGTAACATCGCGATCTGTTGAATTGTAGTTAGAATATTAAATTAGATACCATACGGTGCACGTCACATTAGAAAACGCATTGGGAAATATCTTCGTCATTATTTATTATTTCTCTCTCGAATCAATTCCGTACGACATCAAGAATTTTATTATAGAATTTATATAGCTCGTATTTCACAATTCTTTGTACTCCATTATGTTCCCGAATCGTGTTACTTAACACGGAGATAAACTGTCGGATGAATTTCTTTCTTCTTAGACGTAGTAATCTTGATTACAAATTCCATAATTATGAACATCATGTACTGAAAAATGGCGTCAATTTCAACTATTATTAATAATTACTATATTGATACAAGTAATAATGACATAACTCTTGATACTGGAGAGGTTAAAACCTCGTCATTCTTGCATCACTGCGTTTATATTTTTATTCAGATACGATAGAGCCTAAGCATGTCGCAAACTCTTCTTGTTCCTCCGTTCCTGCGTTTCGTAACGTCTAATCCGCGAAGATAAATGTCACGAGGCGTGTGCAAACGAAAACTTCAATAATCATTTTTTTCTTCCGTATCTCCGCGCGAAGTCAGCTTGTGCGGAAGACATGCGAAATAACTTTTACTATTGTACGAACGAGCGATATGATTTTATCTTGTTCCCACGTAGCGAATGGAAAATAAAATACGCTTGCTTTTGAACTTCAATATTATTTCCGGTGGTTTCGAGGTCTTCGTAAAAAGATACAGTAGCTAATAAGTGAATATTCGAATATTTGTCATTATCCGTAGTTTTTTATGTCGCGATGTTTTGTGATCTTTTTCAGAAGAGAAATGATATTTGTTGTGTAAATTTATTTTCAAAGTTTAACTTTACGTTAAAATTACTTAGCGCTTTGATTAGAATATTTAAAAAAAATAGAAGTGTTTATTGTAGGCATTGTAGCCAAAGGTGAAGATTCTACTGTTTGCTTTCCCATATTCGATGCGTTTGACAGTTTGTTGTCGAAGGTGCTTGAGGAACAAGAAGAGAGGAACTCCACGACATTTGCGTATCTACATGCGTGCAACAAGTGAGTCTCTGCACCATCATCGTGCGGTGCGTGCCGTGCTCGCACGTATATGTATACGTAGATATTCACACGTGTACTCACTTTCTTCGAGGATGCGGTGACCAAAACGAGCAATCATCATTTCTCACTCTCACTCTCGCACAATGATTCTCACACTCGCTACTCTTTTCTCCTTCAACTGCAGTTTGCGGCTTTGACATCGTATATGTTCGAGGAAAGTACCGCCGCGACGAATAAACAATTTCATTTAAAAAAATATCCGTTTACGTCAGAGATCTTGATCTCTCCTAACGAAATCTACGAATAATCTTTAAAAGTGCAAGCGTGCGAGCACCGCTTATGAAAGATACTGTTAATATTAGTGTCAGATTTGTTGGATAAGAAACACGGAATGACTCGCAAACATCTCGGTTTATTACTTAACATTTATAATGCTGTCTGCTGTAAAGTTAACAAATACGCTTTGACTTATATTTTAACATATTATGAACATGAAAATAATTTGACAATAGGTGCTTTCCATTTACATCAAAACTCGGATAATTCTCACTTGTGACGTCGTTCTATCCTTTTTGGCAATTAATGAATAATAAAGACAGAATGACATCACAAGTGAGGATTATCTGAGTTTTGATGTAAATGGAAAGCAACTAATATACTCTAAAAATACGATAAATGTGTTGTGTTTACGAAAAAGAGTAATAAATCAGGAATGTTCAAGATTTCTTTAAACACCGAGTATAAAATAATTTATAAATTAGTGTGAGTTTTTTTCTTCAACGTGTATATGTATGTATGCGTTATTTTTAATAAGTATGTTGAGGACTCACCTGTAAGTGAAATCCTTTCCGTGGAAAATTATTGCCGCAAGGCTGAAGTCGATCTTCCTTCACGATTCGGCCGGAAGATTTGCGTTGTGCGCGCGCTTATGAGAAAGGTGAGAGTGAATAGCTGGGAGCATCTTCATTCAAGCTTTATATAGGTATTGTACCCCCTTACCTAGGTAGACTCTGTAGAAAGAGCGTGCCATCTCTCTTACCGTGTCTGCTGTAATTTTATCATCAGTGAGATGAAAAAAATACCTGTTGACGAAATTGCATTAGGCAAAATTATTTCATGTTTGAAGTTCCGCCAAAATTTAAGCGGAACTACCCATTTCAATCATTAAATTAGTCACAAAAATGATTTTTCTATCTATATTGCTATGATGACAAAAATATGTAAAAATATTTCAATTTTATAACGATAAAGAAGTTAGTTTTTAACAGTAAACCAGACATTCTAAAGGGGATGAAAAAGATAAAGATAAGATAAGAGAGTATATCAGTACTTAATTCATTTATAGTTTAATCCGTTCAAGATAATAATATTAAAACTTTTCATCGCGAGGTAAATGTAATTTGGGGAATCAATAAAAGGCCAAGAATATTCCCTTCCGTATAAAAATAGTTCCGCGTATTCCACATCTTCCAAAAGTGTTTGAGTGCTCCACGAAATAAACGAAAATCGATGAACAACTGTTAAGTGATTTATCTGCCCGGTATTATCGGCGGTCCAACATCATTTCATGAGATTTGTGTTGAGGAAAGTCCGCTTTACCAGTCACGTTCGGGAATAATGACGATAATATATGAATTTCTATGTCCAGGATATTCGTCACCCTTACAAGGAGACAAGACGGAGTCGCGATCTCTTCCGGGTACCCATAATCTCTAATTTAGCGAACCTATATTTTCGCGCGAGTGAAATATGATATGCCTTCTCTTGCTGCGGAGAAAATGAATTTTCCAGACGAGACCTAATTCGTTCGTCCTGAATTCATTTATGATTCACACGGCAGATGGATCATATAACGATTCTTACGCAATTGTGCCTTGAAACTTTTTCTATGGTATATTCTATGGTAATCACATAGCAGCCGTGTTATTTGAATTAATGAGGTAATAAAGAATGAACTGTACACCTTATGCGCTTGATACGATGAACGTCATTCTAAGATTCTTTTGATACATGCCAAACAAAACGCGTGAGAATTTTGAACGATTTAGTATAATGTAATCAATTTTAATTTATTGTTACTTTTCCTTTGCTTAATATAATATTAAAATATGTTAAAGTTGACTAAAATAATATGTGTTAACATAGCTTTTAGTATTTCTTTTTCTGGCTTTCTCCAGAGATCGAGTTATAAAACGACGTAGGATTACAGATTGATTGAGTTAACGTTAAGTGATATTACGAGAATCGGCCCTGTGTCATTTGCGAATCACGTTTACATCCCATGTATGGGATTGATGGAGATTAGAACCGTGACAAATTTTAAAGTTTTATTGACCTTTAACCAGGAGAGAATAGAGGCTTTATAAAAGAGAAAGCCGATGCAGAGGAACAATACAGACGAAAATATATTTATAGCCATGCCAATTTCGATGTCGGACAAAGTATTTTTGCGCGTTAGCTGCCGATTAAATTTTGTCAAGTTTATTTTATTATGCAGTGGCGAAAAAAATCGCCTCTCTGGTGCCGTGAAAAATTTAACAGCCGAATATCACGGTATCACGCTATCATGTCGCGTTAAATATTCAACGCGTTTCCACGCGAATACCTCCGATCGCGCTTGCAAGGGTGATGAACGCGACCGTGAGTGCATCGCTGCATCTGTGTGCTGCAACTGCCCATCATACGTCGTTAGTTGTCATTAGCGCTTCGGCGCATTTCGCGAGAGCATTTCGGAGATGAATATCATTTGGTCTCCACCGCATGCGTATATGCAACAATTTCGCGAAATGTGACAAAGTGCGTTGATCGGATGCTGCGCTTGGCGCGCTGCAAACCTTCTCAACCGTCGCGGCTTTATATCGATACGTCACGACGGTTTTGCGCGAGAAACGCGTGCGCGCGTTACTAAAGTTCGCGCACTGTTACGTCGGGTTCGGGAAAAAGTTTACGGCGTGGTTTAGAATTTTCTCCGTGGCCTGCGGTGTGATTAGCGGTTGGGCAACGCGCATCGCCGCCAGGAACTGGACGTACGAGAGGGAACGTTTCGTACTTATTGGCGCGTCTGGAATCGCGGCCGCTGCATGCGTTTTCCGGAATTCGCATCGGGCTCGTAACCCCCGTCGTCGCGTCGTTTCAACCGGCGCGCTCAATAAATTTAACGAGATAATCTAGGGTTACTTGCGGGTTCACGCTTCATGAGCTTCATTCTCCTGCCGCGCAACGAATGCAAGGCCGCGGCGTTCTGTTTGGAAATTAAGTTACACGCATGGATAAATTAAATTGCACACACGTTAGGTTTTTTCGGAATAATGATATTTTTATTTCAGCAATATTTTATCCCCTTCGAGACAGTTCCCCGCTGCTGGTCTGAAGATGCAACAGTATCCGTTATCGTATAATCGACGAATTACCGGTGCCTATATAATTATACCTCATTACCATAACTCTCCCAAGCATCCCCGTTACGTCAAATAATAAAACCATCACGTGCCCTGGCACCAATTACCTCCATACACGCAGAACTGCGGAGAAAAAATTGTCGGTGAGGCTCGCGCGCTATTATACCTTAAATGTACGATTTAAAGATGGCATGAAGGAAAGAAATATGCGTCTTACGTATATACGTAATAGGAGATAATAAAATCTAGTATAGAAAATATATAAAAAAGATTTATATGGGAAAAATGTATATATACATGTATTATATATGTAGCTAAATGTCTGGAAATATGTTTGAAATATATATTATATTGAATCTTGCTTTTTATGTGATTTATAAAAGTAAATGCAAAAAATGCATATGTCATTTGCCAATTAATTATAACAAAATTTAAAAAAAAGTTGGAAAAAGATATTTTTTCTGTAATACATAAATACATATATTTTCCTTATATAAGGTTTACTGTTGTTCGTGACACGGATATTAAACAGGTGCATTTAGCATTAAATTGTGGCGAACCGCACAGATCAATAACACGACATGGCAAACAAATTCAATTTATTATAATTTGTAATGTACAATATTTATTACGTGACACCCAGATGTACAGAATGTTTATTCGAGATCGAGACAATAACAATTATTATTAATTTACAATAATAACATTAGGATCATCTTGCAGAGTATATATTTATATTTTATACATGCAGAGTCGCAGAAATACGGATCGATCGAACGGAATCGGTTCAGGACCGTCGCTTTCCGCGCTATTCCGTGTCTGCGATCGCGATCGCCTCCGCCGCACATGCGGATTTTACGGTTCTCACGTACGGTTCTCACACACCAAAGTGCGCGCGGAATTGTAAGATAAAAGCATTAGCTTGCCCATTACACAGCCGGGACGTTTACACAATCCGGTTGGATCGCCGTATGTCCCGCGGTGCGTGTCGAAACGCACGACGGTCGCGCGGCGTCATATCGGCACCGCGTGATAACCACTTGTCATCAATCACGTCGCATCACGTTCGTCACAGGGCCCTGCATGCACACGGTGTCCCTGTCACAGCCGAACTCTCGCCGCCGGCGAGATTGGATCTCGCTTGCGCGCCTCCGTTTCTCGATCCTTGCCCGAGATTATTAATTACCGACGCTGCCGTGCCTAAACTGCTATCAATTGCGCGGCGGCACTCCGGACAAGTTTCAAGATAATCATCAAGTTCTAACAAGCACTTAATATCCGATCGCTTCCGGTCTAATTTTCCGACATCCGGCACGGGCCGGAGCAAATATGGAACGCTGGAATGTACTAAGCGCGAAAATTATTTCTGGCTACCTGCAAACGCGCGAAATGCTCTCCAACCGACTGATGAGTAGATAAGAGAAGAAAGCGCTTCTATCTCCGCGATATATTCTATCTCATTGAATTCTATTTATTTAAACTAATCATGTACTTTGCACGTTTGTACTATGTTGTAAGTGAATACAATTGGAGAGCGTGCCGTTATCGCATTGCGGTAATTCCGCTCGTCGGTTAGCTTGCCAGACGCGATATTTGCAGACGCAAATACGCGTTCGTATGTGGGTTATTAATGAAATCATATTTCTCATTGTTCGCTTCGCGATATTCGGGAGCGGCCTCCTGCTGTGTGAACGCGATCGCGCATTCGCGGTCTTCATTCAGAATTAGTCGGCGTGTCCCGTAGGTTAAATTTCGCTGGGCTGCTATCTAATCACGATGAAGGATGATACGCGAATTAATTCGCGACGAAAATCCACGGGACGGCTTTTGTCACTTTTCAGCGACGGAAATCTGGTAATTACTTCATGGAAATAACTCTATCGATCGTTTTGCGAGGTTAATCAGTTCATCCGAGTTTCATTTATCACTTACTGATTTCTTTCATCGCCGCTTAGGATTACCGTTTCGTGTCAGTTTGTCAACTTCTGAACGATCGAGGAATTTTTATGAAATCTTATTCGCCATATTATTAAATCCTGTTATTTATTAAACTTTATTTTTCTGTAAGATTTATTTTGTCGGATATTTATTGATGTTATTCAACAAAAATCGTCAAACTTTATGTTTTTGATAAATGCAATATTAATGTTCAGTATGCTATTTTCGTAACATGCGCTCCGCGTATAAAGCAAAGTGGATTTATGACTTTAATTTAAATCGCAAAATTCCTGTATCGTTTAAAATCGCGGCCTTCCCGCAACGCTTGAAAAATCTCGTACGTCTCGTTCTTACGCTTAGATTTTTTATTCTCGTGCGAATATAGAGACCGTAAGATTTACGAGAAAAATCCAGGGGGTTTTAACCGGTAACGGGATTAGCGCGGGATTGAAACTACCCGTATCAAGCAAGCAGGACGAAGTCGTAAAGTTCCGCGGTGCTGCGAC